CAGGGAAGGCCACACACTCAGGCCGCCTGCCCCCTCCGCTCCGCCGCAGACAGCCAGGACGGACCCACGGCCAGCCAGGTCGGACCCGCGGCCAGCCAGGAAGGACCCACAGACAGCCGGGACGGACCCGCGGCCAGCCAGGACGGACCCGCACTCAGCCTCCCCCGGTCCCCCCCTACTCCCACGGCAAGGTAAACAACGTGTGTTTGAATTTAAATGCCAATTAGCTTTACACAGACTTCTGTAGATATGGGTAGATATACATGAACCTCATGATAACCACACCCTACAAAAACTTATAAGAAATACACAAAAAGAAAGAGAAAGGAACCCAAGGAAATCACTAAAGAAAACCAGCAAATCAAAAGAGAGCAAGAGAATAAGGAACAGAAAAGCCCAACAAAAACAACTAAAAAACGATGAACAAAATGGCAATCAGTAAGTACCTTAACTGCAGATGAACTAAATGTTCCATGAAAGACAGAGTGGCTTAAAGCAGCGGTCGCCACCTTTTCGGACCTCACGGACCACAGTGGTCCGTCCACAGACACCGGTTGGTGACCGCTGGCTTAAAGAATAAAACAGTAAGATCCACCTGTACGTTACTTACGGAGACTCAAGTTAGATAGAAAGACACTCAGACAGAAGGTGAAGGGATGGAACAAAAGTTTTATGCAGATCGAAACAAAGAGCAAGCTGAGGCAGCAACACTCAGACAAAACAGAGAATGTGAAGAGTCCAAGGACATTACATGATGATGAAGGATCCAGGTAAGCAGAGGCTGTCACTACATACACTGCACCCTCAGAGGAGCACCAAAGCACAAGAAGCAGTATTAATGGACACACAGGCAGGAGGGAACAGTTAGTACCACACCCGCTGGGGACCTTAGCACCTTATTCTCATAGATCACCCACAAAAGGCAGTTCCAACTGTAAGGAAACAATGGCTGCCATGTCCTTTTCGAGCAGATCACATAACTAACACTTACAGAACATTTCATCCCCAATCCAAAGGTACACATTTTTCTCACACGCATATGGACAAACCACATTAGGGCATTAAACAAGCCTCAAAGAATTCAAGATTGAATTTATTTTTATTTTATTTTTTACATATGTCTTATTGATTTTTTACAGAGGAAGAGAGAGGGATAGAGAGTCAGAAACATCGATGAGAGAGAAACATCAATCAACTGCCTCTTGCACACCCTCTACTGGGATTGTGACCACAACCAATGTACATGCCCTTGACGGGAATCGAACCTGGGACCTTTCAGTCCGTAGGCCGACGCTCTATCAACTGAGCCAAACCGGTTTCGGCAGATTGAATTTATAACAAGTGTATTATCTGCCCACAATGGCATAAAAATAGAAATTAACTACAGCCAGAAAATTAACAACAACAACACACAAACATGTGGAGACAAAATAACATGCTACTACATAGCATATGGATCAGAGAAAATCAAACAGAAAATCCAAAAATACCTGGAAACAAATAAAAATACAAATTTCCAAATTTTATGGGATGCAGCAAAAAACCACCACCACCAAAAAACAGTTCTACGAGGGAAGAGACATGTCTTCAAAGACACAGAGATGGCCAACGGCCGTATGAGAACTTGCTTAACATTAGTAATCATTAGGGAAACACATAAAGCCAGGCAGCCGCCTCCCCCCTGCGGGAGGCTCGGAGCAAAGCCAATGCAGTGAGTGCGGCGGCGAGGCGGGGAGAGAAGGCCCCGTGGGCACTGCTGGCCGAAAGTGAACTGGCGTGACCCTATGGGAAACCATCTGCCTCTGCACCCAGCAATTCCCCTTCTAGGTTTTATTAGAGGGAAATGAAAAACACCAATTTTCAAGATCCCTGCCCCTGCCTGCAGGGCCTGCACCCCAGGGTCCCCCGGCTGCCACAGCGCCTCCTGAGAAGCAGAGCCGGTGGGGAGCTGGGCGCTGTGCGCTCTGCGTGGCCGGCCAGCACCAGGGCTGCAGGGATTCTTCCGGCCCGCTCTCCTCTGGCCAGATGACCTTGTTGGTGTGCTCTTTACCAGCCCATGCCATGCAACTGTCATGGCATTTAGTTAAACTATTTTCAAAAAATGTTAATTGCGGCATTATCTCAAATAGCCAAGATGGAAGTAACTTAGGTATCCAAGTTGAATGAGTAAGGAAGATGGGGTACATATATAAAATGGAGTATTAGTCAGAAATAAAAAGAATGAAATCCTATTTGCGACAACATAAATGGATATGAAGGGTACTATGCTAAGTGAAATAAATCAGAGAAAGACAAATACTGAGTAATTTAGTTATATGTAGCATAAAAAACAAACAAAAAAAGACTTACAGAGGCAAATGGTGGTTGCCAGAGCTGAGGGATTGAGGCTGAAGGGAAAGGGGAAGGGGATGCAGTAAAGAATACAGGGAAAGCACACTGTAAGCTACGTAAACTCTAACCGTCGTTTTATACCTAAAACTACTAGAGTGGAATCTTGGTTCTCAAACCTAGTTTGTTCCAGAAGGCAATTCAAGAAGTGATTTGGACAAAAACCGTATCATTACTTCCCTTTGGAATTAATTTAAATCTAATGAATCTGTTCCCAAACCCTCCAACAATCCTGTTTTAACCTTTCTCATAGACAGCACAGTCTCAGCTCTGTTGTTGTTCACTGTTCACTTTGCTATTACTAACTTCTTAGGATCCATGGTGACTTACTGTGTGAATTAATAATAAGCTGCAGCAACCAAGTCAGAAAAAGGAAACCCAGCAAAATATTCACGGCACAACTTCCTGAGATGTTACTGTGAGGGTTAGTGGTGAACTGAATCACACCGCACACTCTCTCCTTTGCTGGCTGCCTGAGAGAAGTGTGGCTGATCCTGCAGGTATCAGTATGAAAACGGTGTTAGGTTGAGAAAACCCAAGTTTTGCTCCACAACTGAAACATTTTTTTCTTTCTTTCTTTTTCTTTTCTTTTTTTTTTTTTTTTAAATATATTTTATTGACTTTTTATTTTATTTCATTTTATTTTTTTAAAATATATTTTATTGATTTTGTACAGCGAGGAAGGGAGAGAGATACAGAGTTAGAAACATTGATGAGAGAGAGTCATCGATCAGCTGCCTCTTGCACACCCCCTACCAGGGATATGCCCGCAACCAAGGTACATGCCCTTGACCGGAATCGAACCCGGGACCTTCAGTCCCCAAGCTGATGCTCTATCCATTGAGCCAAACCGGTCTTGGCTATTTTATTGATTTTTTAGAGAGATGAAGGGAGAGGGAGAGAGAGTTAGAAACGTCGATGAGAGAAAAACATCAACCAGCTGCCTCTTGCACATCCCCCGCAACCAACGTACATGCCCTTGACTGGAATTGAACCTGGGACCACTGAGCCAAACCGGTTTTGGCTGAAATATTTTTTCTGTGAACAACTTGGTAGAGAACCGAACTGTTCAAGATGGGAGATAACTGGAATCCGAGGTTTGACCTTGTAAGATTGTATGCCAACTGTACTAACAAAGAGTGCCAGGAGATCCAAACTCAGTATATGTGCTGCCAAAGCGAGCACGAGATCCAAACTCAGAAAGGCTGTGCGGTTCCCCACGGCAGAGACAAACTCCTGTCTTGCATCCAAGCTACACACGTGAAGGTCAGCGTGTTCCCAACACTCCTGAATCACTTTAAGAAAGAAAACATTTGAATTCTCCATATTTCTAATGTTTTGAATTACAGCATACTAAGCAAATATTAGTTTAACTATTTTTTTCATTTCCTATCTATTATAACTGACAGTTGTTAATATTTTCACAAATGTTTTTAAAGCTCACATACTTTTATTTGCTCCCTGATTAAGATCACTTTGCGGTTTATTTTAACATTCCTGCACCAGTGTGCAAAGTCATGGCCCGAGAACTCTTCTATCATCCCTGGCCCCGCTCTCCTCTGCCCACCGGGAAGCACAGGGAGCCCCAGGGAGCGCGGCTTCTCCTCCGGCTCCGCAGCCTCTGCGAGGAGCCGTTCCGCACCCGCCCCTCTGCCTCCGCCCCTGCACAGGCACTTCACGCTTTCCTTATGGTTTCTTTACACTCGTTAGAAACAATGATGTCACTCTTATGAAATCCCAGATTCTAAAACGACACTTGGCACATACGAGGCATTCATAATTATCTTGAATGAAGTAGATCTAAAAATATTAACATGGTAAGCTATTAGTGATAAGTATAAAAAAGTAAGATACAGAAAAATCAATCATCAGATCTTGTTTTTGAGGAAGGATCTGGCAATCTATCTATATGTTTATGTAGAAAAAGACATGGAAAGATATTTAACAAAACTATAACCAATCAATAATATTCTGGGGAATGGTGGGTGAAGAATAGAACAATGATTTTCACTTTATACTTTAAATGCTGTTATATTGTCTCATTTTTATCCAAAATAATTTCACTTCTGAAACTAAGATGACAAAAAGTAAAGAAAAAAGCATAAATGAACTATTGTCATGCCATTATGACAGCAGAAATAACTTGGTGTTACTATGACACAGGTTCTAAGTACTTTTAATGAGTCATTTTATTTAAAAAGTTAAGTACTGCCCTGGTTCAATTCTACTCAAGGGCACATGCCCAGGTTGCAGGCTTGATGCCTAGGAGGAGGTGTGCAGGAGGCCGCCGATCAATGATAATTTCTTATCATTGACATTTTTATCTTTCTCTCTCTCTCTCTCCCTTCCTCTCTGAAATCAATAAAAATATATTTTAAAAAAACTCATTAAAAAAATAAAAAGATAAGTACCTGATGAGCTAAATGTTATATATATGCCCATTTCATAAGTGAAGCAAATGAGAGTTAGAGAGGCTGAAAACCGTGTGCGGCCATACAGCCAGTAACAGCACATAATGACAACAAGCAGACGGTGTGGAACCTGTCACATGCATGGCACTCTGCTTCCGCATGGCGTGCTGCCGGAGCCGATGGGAACAGGGAGGCGCTCACCCTGTGGGCCTCGGGGACCCGGACGTGCTCCGCACGGAGCCCTCCACTCGAGGACTGGCTACTTCCGGAGGCTGAGGAGGAATGAGGGTTTTCCGAACTGCAATTCTGAAAGAGACAAACCCGAAAACTGAAGCAAGTACCAGGCATATGTACAGCAAATAAAAGCACTGCACTGGCTAAGTATTTTTCGTGGATTTTAAAAAATTTTGTCAAGATAATACAGGCACAATATTATAAGAATAGTCACATAGTATTACAAGACAACACACAGCCGAAACCGGTTTGGCTCAGTGGTAGAACATCGGCCTGCGGACTGAAAGGTCCCAGGTTCGATTCCGGTCAAGGGCATGTACCTTGGTTGCAGGCACATCCCCAGTGGGAGTGTGCGGGAGGCAGCTGATTGATGATTCTCTTTCATCGATGTTTCTCTCTCTCTCCCTTCCTCTCTGTAAAAAAATCAATTAAAAAAAAAAAAAAAAAAAAAAGACAACACATAGCAGGCCCCTGCGCTGTCCTCCCCACTTACGACCCAGCATGCTCTGGGAAGCAGACACTGTGACTCTTCTGGCTGTTTTCTAGCACGCCTTATCTCCTTTCTACTTCACACTAACATTTGAATCCATGGTAAGGATTTACGATCATTACTATGTCGATGTATCTGTGCTGACCTAGCCAGTTCCTGGCAGCCGTCAGCCACATGGATCAGGCGGTCAAAGACCAGAGCTGCTCAGACTGAGAAATGCTGGATTTCACAAGGGAAAAGTCCGGAAGGAGCTCGACATGTACAGGCTCGCAGAGTGGGAGCAAATGTTAGACAAGAGTGGGTCTGAGAGAAGGGCTCCAACCAGAATGTCCTGTTACAACGCCCGATAACCATTCAGACACTGGTCCTCAAGACGGCTGACACCTCCACCCCACACGCACCCTGTCTCCTGGGAGCGGTGAACGCAGGGACCAATACAGCTGGACAGAAACACGCGGGAACACTACTGACATGATGGTAGAGGTGAACACAAGCACAGCCTTCAGCCCAGTCAGACCATTGTGCGGGTGACACCAGCACCGGAGGGTTCCGCTCTCCTGGGCCCACTCACCCGTCCGCGGCAGGCTTCTTCCGGAGGATGCTCGGCCGCGGGGAGGAGCCCTGGGCGGGGGCGCTGGTGCTGGAGCTCTGGCTGTGGGTCTGCACCACGGTGGTTGCTGCCGGAGTAGCACTGAATGGGCTGCTAATAGGGTTGGCTACGATTGTGGCTCCATCTGCCAGCACCATTGCTGAGAGATAGGCAAGGGCGGGCAGACAAGAACAATGAGGAGAGGGAAATGAAAGAAACATTACTAAAGTCTCACATAGACAACTAGAAACAATCAGACTGCCAGACTCAGAGTCTCCATGTTCTGACTGGCCAAATTCAAGACGATAAGAAACAGGAACATCATGTCCATGCGCCTAAAAGCAGAAGTCAAGTAGGAGGTTACTCATCTACTGAGGCATGATCAATAACCATTTTTCACTGGTCTATAATCATAATTATTATAAACAAGAAAGATACATAACTGTATATTTCAGGAAATCTTCTCCCAGTTTTGGTAAAATACAACCACTTTCAATCCTAAAAATGGGGCCAACATTCCAGTCTATCCTAATTTTACAGCGTTACATAAACTCTTCTAAAAAATCCTACAAGGAATGAGAGTCCTCCGATTACAGGGTGAACTGTTCTCTCAGCTTAGAACTCTTTCCATGGAGTGCTCCTTACCCTGTGCAAACAGCTGTAAGGCTGTTTATGCATTTCTAAGGCCACAATGACCCTGACAGATAAGTTCTAAGCATCTCTTGTTACAAAGTGAAAATGAAAGCTTAGAGAAATTATGAGCCACAAGCCAGCAAGTGGCAGATTCAGAATTTAAGCCGTGTCTCCCTTTTCTCCACACCAAATTTCATGCCAAACATTACGATTACCTGACGTTTTTCCTTCGGGCGGAGGCTGCTGAGCACCCACTGATGCAGGCTGAAGCCCTTGGGTACTGATCGGGGGTGCTGAGTGAATTCCCTGTGTACCGATGGGTGCCGGCTGTATTCCTGGGGTCCCAATGGGGGCTGGCTGTATCCCCTGTGTACTGATGGGTGCAGGCTGGATCCCTTGAATATGCCGAGCATGAGATGCATCCACTGCCATCAACTGCATGGGATTGAGGTGAACTGTAGATGCCACCCCAACACCAGTCGGAGCTGTTATGGCAGAGTTAGGAGCCTGAGCTGAAACTGAAAAGGATGCAGACACTGACTACAATGGCAGCTTTGATTAGACACAGTCCACATAAGAAGAAAAACACTAAAATGAAAACAGAATTTTTCTACTGCACAAGATCTAAATCCTCATAAAACGAAATAACAAGGAAAACTTAGCCCAGCCAGTGTGGTTCCGTGGTTGAGCTTTGACCTATGAACAAGGAGGTTACAGTTTGATTCCCAGTCAGGGCACATGTGGGATTTTGGGCTCTATCTCCAGTGAGGGGTATGCAGGAGGCAGCTGATGAATGATTCTCTCTCATCACTGATGTTTCTTTCTCTCCCTCTCCCTTCCTCTCTGAAAAATAAAATAAAAACCACAGCCACAGTGGGTGTTGCTTAGAGGCTAGAGTGTCTGGTTCGATTCCCATCAAGGAATCAGACCTGGGTTGCAGATTCAATCCCAACTAGGCCCCAGTTAGGACCCATGTGGGAGGCAACTAAATGGATCTCTCTCTTACATGGATGTTTCTCTTTCTCCTCTCCCTCCCTTCCACTCTAAAAATCAATGAAAAATATCCTTGAGTGAGGATTAACAAACAAACAAAAATAATAATCACTACATGAAACTATATATGAACACGTGAAGTGCCAAGCCTGTTTTGCCTTCCTTTCCGTTTAGCCGGTAATATCTGATTTCACTGATATGCTGGCGGCCAGAGGTCTGGGTGAGGTTGCGCTAAGGCTGCGTGCGTATCTGCAGATACGTTTCTTGTATGAAGTTATCTCAACCTGTACTCCGTGTTCTTTTAGAAATGCTTTCTCTTCAGTCAGTGGCCTGTGGTTTGCATTCCAGTGCACTTTAAACCATTTTTCTTTCCCCGTAACAGTGACAATGTCAGAAGAAGCGTGTGAAAGCGATTCAAGTGAAATCAGTTTTCCTAAGATACATCGTAGAGTTGTTCTTTTCTCGTCAACATAGGATGAGGATTTTGAAGAATGGCGTGATCTAAGAGGTAATCAACCAAGGATATAACCAAGGATCATGCTTTTTACCTGCCTGCCTGCTTTTGGGATTGAAGACTTGAATGTAGTCATGTGTAACAGCAGAGGATTCTTATGAACTGTCTGTGCCTAATGAATTGTTTGAGGACATTGCCAAACGAACGTATATGCGCCACAAAAACTAGGGGTTGAAAACTCACAGCGTTTGTGTAGGTGGACTGTGACCAACAGAAATGAAAAGAAAAGATGTTTTGGTTTATTCTACGGATGGGATTCGTTAGACTACCATCTTTATGCTTATATTGGTCCCGTGATCCTGCATATATGCAAACTTTCCCGGAAAAAAAAAAAAAAAAAAAGGTCAAGAAGTAGATTTGAAATCTTATTATGAATGCTGATTTTCCAGACAATAGGGAGACAGATGTTTCCAATCGTTTACGCAAAATACAATTAATAGATAACATGGAAATAAATTTTTAAAAATATTATGATTATCTGAAGCTATATGTATAAATGAATCTTTGATACCATTTTGTGGCTGCATAATATTTAAGCAATACTTAAAACAAAAACACTACCAGTATGGTCTTCAATTATTTAATTTGTGCTGCAGATCTGGGTACACGTATGCTTTCCGTGTATATGCAGGGAAAAGTTTAGAAAAAGAAAATAAAACACCAACTAATGTTGTTATGTCTCTTTGTAGAGATGTATTCAGTAAGGGACAGACATTGTACACAGACAACTGGTACACGAGTTTAGATTTAGCATATAAATTACTCGATAATAATACTCATTTAGTAGGAACATTACGCTCAAATCAACAGGGAAATCCTCATGAAGTAATGTCAAAGAAGTTAAAATGGGGAGAAATTATAGCAAAAGAGAACAAAAAAGGAATAACCATTTTAAAATGGAAAGATAAGCCGGACATCTTTTTTCTTTCAACAAAACATACATCAGAGATGGTGAATGTTGAAAATAGATCAAGTCACTACTTGAAACCAAAAATTGTAGTGGATTATAATGCAGGAAAAGCAGCAGTTGATATATCTGATCAAGCGAGTGCCTATAATAACCTGTTACGAAAACCAATTAAATGGTATAAAAAGCTAGCCTTTAAGCTCCTACTAAATACTGTTCTCAATGCTCATATTTTATTTAAAAATATTCGCAAGAAGAATATGAGTATCACAGAACTTTGGAAGAAATTAGTTGTCCATCTAACAAATTGTCAGGATGAAGAAATACCAAGTAGCAGTACTGTAAATACACCTCAAATATCTCGTTACTAACTGCAACAAAAAACTGGAAGAGTGTCTAAAGTCCAAAAACATTGTAAAAAATGCTATGAAGATAATGCAGCATGATTTGGGCAAGATATTGCCAGAAAGTTGACAAGTTATAACATTCTGTGAAAACTGCACAGGACAAGTATTTTTGTGTACACCGTGTTTTAATAATATTTATTAAAAAATTTTTGGTAACAATATTTAGGTTCATTCTTTTATGATCTCCAAATTACTTAAAATTAATAGAAGAATATAATTTTAAAATTATATATAGTTGGTCACCAGTGAAGGAAAAGTATACTGCCTGTGACGGACACGTCTGGACGGAGAGCCTAGTGCCAGTCACCAATGACTGACGTGGCGCTTAACGTGCTAAGGGGTTCTTCTCCACTCACCTACCCATTTGATAGGATTTCTTTGCAGATTACTAGAAATCGCATTTAGAAAGGCAAAAAAGCACTCTATTAAATTCCAAATGTGAGCCAGGCAATTATGCTAAATAAGTAATCTAAAACTTCTGAGATACACTCATAGCTCCCAAGTTAAGAATTTTTGTTTTAATTTATAGAATCACTCTATAGGCATTTCTGAAATACAACAGTTATGAATTTTAAATTCCATATACTTATTAAAAAGAGACAAAAAGCAAGTTTCCTTTTTCCTATCAGGCAAGCACATCATCTGTGTGTACATTAAAAACAAACTCAAAACAACAAAACTGAAAATAAAAGCACTCCCAGGAAGCAACAAAAAAAGAACTTGCTCACTACTTATGGAAAGAAAACAAACACAAGTTACCAAAAAATCCACACCCTTAGTGTCTGCTGATAGGTGAGTAGATGAAGGAAATGGGAAACACACATACACACACACACACACACACACACACACACACACACACACACACACACGGATACTGTTCAGCCACAAAGAGGAATGGAGTCTGCTGTCTGCAACATGGACAGGCTGAGTGAGTAATCCAGGAAGAGACAGATACTGTATGAACTTATCTATATGTGGCATCTGAGAAAAAACAAACATACGAATACACCAACTTCACAGATTAAAACTGGTGCAGAGGCGAGGCTGGGGGAAGCAGGAGGGCTAGAAGGGTAGGTAAAAATGGATGATTGGGTTAAAAGGTACAAACGTTCAATTATAAAATAAGTCATGGGATGTAACATGCAGCATGGTGACTGAACTGCATATTTAAAAGCTGCTATGACCGAACTTAAAAGTTACTGCCCAGCTGGCATAGCTCAGCGGCTGAGTGCTGACTTATGAACCTGGAGGTCACAGTTTGATTCCTGGTCAGGGCACATGCCCAGGTTGCAGGTTCGAGCCTATGTGGAGAGTGCAGGAGGCAGCCACTCAATGATTATCTCTCATCATCGATGTTTCTCTCTCTCTCTCTTCCTCTCTGAAATCAACAAAAATATATTTAAAAAGTTATCAAAGAAATTATCAAATCATTATATTGTACACCTGACACTAATGTCACATGTCAGTTGCATCCCAATTTAAAAAACAGATATAGTTAAAAGTTTTATAAACCAGAAAAAAAATAAAGTTTTTATTATGATCAAGAAAAGTATAGTGAAAGTTAGTACACATGTGAATTTACGGCCACTGCTACATGTCATTCTTCCCTGCTGCCACAGCAAGTAACCCTCAGAGAATAACTGTGTCCCTGAGAACTGATCTTTGTTGTCTCTGTTCAGGGAAGCTGGGCCGTCTGCCTGCAGAGCATGCAATTCCCCTCAAGGTCACTCACTGTGCTCAGCCAATACTGATCCACCTGCTACAAGCACAAAGTCTATACTTTATTCATGGACAGAAATATCCTCTTCTGTGGTTGCACTATGCCTCTTTCCTCTCCATTCTGAGCGATGCTTTCCAAATATTACTTCCCATAGGAAGATCATTCCTGACTTCCAGCCCTACTGTCTCATAGAAATCACGTCTCACACCTCAGAAGCAGCATGGGTTTGCTCAAGCCTCTCTTTTGGGACTCCGTACTTGGTCTATTATACTATCTCTTCATATCCTATCTCCTTATTAGACTCTAAGCTTGTTGAAAGCAAGATCTGTTTAAGAGTCAGCTTTACGTAGGTCTGTGGACTAAAGGGTCCCGGGTTAAGAGCACATGCCCAGGTTGTAGGCTCAATTCTGAGCAGTGGGCGTGCAGGAGGCAGCTGATCAATGATTCTTTCTCATCATTTATATTTCTACCTCTCTCCCTCGCTCTTCTTCTCTGAAATCAATAAAAATATTAATAAATAAATAAAAAATTTAAAGTAATGTCTTTATTGTTCAGATTATTACAGGTGTTCCTCTTCCCCTCACCCACCCATACTCCCCTCCACCTGATCCCCACTCCACCCCAGCCCTTACCCCCGCCCCTGTCTTCACCCATAGGTGTAAGATTCTTGTCCAATCACTTCCCGCACCCCTCAAACCCTCTGCCCCTGAGATTGTTAGTCCAATCCCTTTCTATGTCCCTGATTCACCAGTCCATTTTGTTCTTCAGATTTTTTATTCACTTGATTTTTAGATTCACTTGTTGGTAGGTATGTATTTGATGTCTTTTTGTTGTTCATAATTTTTACCTTTACTTTTCTTCTTCTTCTTCCTCTCCTTAAAGAATACCCAGCATTTCATGTAATCCTGGTTTGGTGGTGATGAACTCCTTTAACTTTTTCTTGTCTGTGAAGCTCTTTATCTGACCTTCAATTC